ATAATTTGGGTAAATTCTAAAATTCTGGTTTTTATATTTATCCTGGCACAAGAAGCTATGTGGAGCTGTGCACCTGTAACCTGAATTACCATATGATGGGGCATCTTATTCAATCTTAGAAAATGTTTACATAGCCCTGTAAATAGAGGAATTTGATGTATCTTCTATCCAGACTTGGTCACAATATGATACTTGTTCCCATAACAAAATGCTAACCACACTGCTCTAGAATATTAAGTAATTTTCCATAGCTTTTTTCAGTTCTTCCTATTAAAATAGGACTTTTTGGGAACTACTCTTCCCTTAATACCTTCTAAATTCTTATTGCCTTAAGGAGGCCTTTAGAGAGTTGGGCCCTTACAGAAAGTAAAGGGTTAGAAGAGATGGAAGCTGAAATAAGAGCAAAAAGCTACTGAGCATGTGATGATTTAGAGGATGTACTATGACGATTGGAACTGCTACTCCTACATGCAAAGATCTAAGTGGCTTCTTATAGTTTCTGTCACAAATTCCCTTACTGAGAAGCAACACATTAAACAAAATAATAATTGCCATAGGGTATGTGTGTTCACCAGAGGAAGAGAGAGAAAGGGAGAAAGAAAGAGAGAGAGAAAGAAGACTTAAGAGGACATGGGGACATTGCAATTCCCTCTCCTCCATTCTCCTTTTAGGATTTTGGTCACACATGCACACACACTTGGCATGTCTCTCATGTCTGAGTCTGGAACTTGAACTGCACAGTTGGCCACATGGATCCAGTCACTCCAACTACGTGCTATCCACTGGCCCACCACATTTTTAAAGTGATAGGCAGGGATCAGAGAGCCAAAAAAGACAGAGAGAAATCTTGGTCCTGAGGGATCTTGTACTAGGAAGAGAAAATTATTTTCCTCTAAAGAGTGGAAATATCACAAAAGTGGTTTGAGAGCCTTGTCTCTGGAGGATTACTGTGGAGTACGCTTTTCTAGCAATTCAAGCATAGTAAAGCCAAAATCAATTTTATCTCCCAGACAACTATTTTCATAAATACCACTGTAAAGTTTCTAACATTACAGCAGTACTTAGAATATCATATTAACTGGGTGTACGTATTTTTCATGCTCGTGGCATGTGACTGTGGTTTTCATCTTCTGCTTGTTGTATGTGTGGTCATCCCAAGCTGTCCCCTGGGTATTTTTGCTTGACATTTGTTGGCCCCCTCCAACTTAACCTGTCTCAACAGAGCATCTACTGACTGTCCCGATTTTCCTTATCTACTCTTGTCCCTCATCTATCTTACTAAGGCAGCCAGTCATTGCATTTTGTTCAGTCCTTCTTTGCAATTTCTTTCACATTCATTTTTTTTCATTTTTATGGTGACCTTTTATTCCTTTGTGTTTTTTATATCATAAGAACTTCATGTTGGTTTTCCTTTTCAGAGCATGAAGTTCTCCAGGCTGGTAGCACGAAGACTGGATAGATTAATGGTTTCCCACATGCTAAGTGAACTCAAGAAGGTACTCTCAGGAATGGCAAGATCAGAGCAGGAGAGGGGAGCTATGTCTGGGTGGGAAGGGGCAGAGACTGGGCTCTAATCCCTGCCTTTGGAAACTGGAGTTAAGAGTGGAGGAGTTAGTGCCAGGCAGGGTGAGGTGAACTGAGTGAATTGAGGCAAGGTGGGCCAGAGCAACTAATCAGGCATGGAGGCTGAAATCCCTGCTCCTTGGTATCTAAGGGCCCCAAATCAGGTCAATCCCTCTGATTGCTGTGACCTGCTTTTCTGGCTAAATGCTATCTTTCACTTGTGTGGCTTCAACTAAAGAGAGGAAAAATTTGAGGACAGATATTACACTTTATTTTATAACTTCTGTAAGTAAAATTATATAAGTGGTTTATATTGTTGCTATTATAAATGTGTTTTGATAGTCTTTATTTCAGAGTAAAATCTTTTTTTTTCTTTTTTGAAGAGGTTTTTGCTATTGGGCGCATGCACTCACCAGAAAGACAGAGAGAGACAGAGAGACAGAAAGCAAGAAATCACTCCCTAGGGGGGATGGCCACGCTGCAATCCCTTCTTCTCCATTCTCCTCTTGGGATCTTGGGCACGCACGCACATGTGCCCGGTGGGAGTTTAAGCTGCCGGGGCTGGGACTCAAACCTTGGTCGACTACATGGGAGTTCAATGGCATAGCCATTATGCCAACTGCTGGTCCCCAGAGTCAAATCTTTTAGTTCTTCTTTGATAACCACTTGGTTTCCATGTGGAGCTATTTATTTATTAGGCCATTAATGTATCCTTTAGTTGAATTATAATACTTACCTTAGAGTTCATGGAACTTTCTCTGCTCAAAAAGAACACCTTTTTCAGGTCCTACAACTGACTTTGAAACACTGGACAACTTGAAAATACTGCAGATTTTATTTTTAAAGTTTATGTTTGAAAGCATAATTTTTTACTTATTTTTCTCACCATTCAAAAAAAGAAAAATTTTTACGCTTTTATTTAGTCATGGAACAAGGGCCTTTATTTCTCAAGATCATCTCTATACTTTTCATTTTACTGTCCCTCATAATCTTGTCAGAAACTATAATCCTTTATGATATTTTAGTTGACATAAAAATATTCCCAGAAATTATTAACCAGTATCAATTCAAACTTTAATGTTGACTATTTTCAGCAGTTCTTGTTTCTTCAAAACTAGAAACTTAATGAGAGAAAATATTCAAATAAAAATTGGTGTTTCTCTTTCAAATACTCTACTGCTGTTACAAATATTTGTCTCTGAAGACTTTCCTAATACCCTCCTCAGAGTTACCTGCTTGCCTTTTGGTCTGATAATATTGGATATACAAATATTCCAAGAGCCAAAGTTCATGCCTCAAGTTCACTTTGTAGTGTGTGACTCCACATCCTTCACGTCACAGGAACTTAAGTAATGCCTCTCAAAGAACAGCAACACAACAACAAACTCCTACCTTGTAACTACTGTCAGCCCTCATTTGTTTTCAGTGCTTGATCTTGACTCTCAAACATCCCACTAAATGCTTCTTCATTGTTAATTTTGAATTATAAGGAATCATTGCACATTTAATAAGCATCCAGGGAATCTGGTTGTAAATCCAGCTTTGCAAATAATTTGCCGAATGATCTTGGATGAGTCATTTAATCTGTCCAATTAAAAAATGATTTATTTTAATTTTATTTATTCATTAATTAACTTTAATTTGATTTGAGAGAGACACAAAGAAAAAAAGAGAGGGAAAGTGAGAAAGTAAGTCACCAAGTTCAGGAATCGAACCACGGTCAGCCCTGTGGGAGTGTCCAGTGCCTTAACCACCATGCCACCTGGTGGCCCCTAATCTGTCTAATTTTTAATGTTCTCACTTAAAAAGGAGAGGCTTGAAGTATTAGATGATTTCTAAGCTTTTTTTTTTTCTCACTTAAAATGCCTGTGATTCTATTCCTGAAGAAGAAATCTAAAGTAATTAGAGCAAACTTTCTGAAATGAATACCATCAATGAAAGGAATTTAATTGAATTGCATTTCTTTCCATGACATAATTGGACATATTGATACTGAATACCATCAAGAGGACAGTGGGGAGTTACATTTAGTCATAAGTTTTTCAACTGATTCAAGTGGGAATGCTAAGGTATTAACGCATTTTTGCTTCTAATCCGATTTAACCATGGTAAAAGACTTCACTCTTTTTCGGTGAAAGAATTGATTCTTAGCTTAAATTAATATACATATTGGTGGAGCATTAGTCAAAGAGTTTGACCTGTTACTCTTTTTAACACTTTTGTCAGTGACTGGAATGAGTCATGTTTTCCAAATCGAATACTGAAGTCATCTAATAGGTTAAGACAATAGTAGCAGGATTCAAACAGTGTCAATGAAGGCTAAAGAAAATAGTCCACAAGCAAGGAGAAGAAATGGCCAGGTATGAAGGTTAAGTTCCATATTTGAAATCCAAAACACCAGCCATCAAACAGGAGGATAAGTAGAATGGGGAAGGATTAATTTGACAGCTGTTGCATCCTCTTCACCCCCATCTCCATCCTAGCTCAGGGAAGCTGCGCACAGACCTGAGGCCGCTGTACAAGATCTCAAACCTCAAGTGCATGCTTGAGTTGAACTAACAATAGTGTTCAAAGACTTCCTTGTGTCCTCTACAAGTCAGATCGCACTGCAGTTTCGGATCTAGTTTGGACACCATACTTAAAAAGGCTATGAAGCTACATCCCTCTTGATTCATCCCTAGTTGGACATTCTGGACAAGGAATTTTGAAACCAAAAAGTACACGCAGAAGGGGGCTGAGGGAGAAGGGTAAACGCAGGGAGTAGAAAGCAGGGCCCACGAGGAGGGTGGCAGGCCAGGGATTCACTGGGTTCGAGGGTGCAGCTGGCAGCTGCGTCGAGGGCACCTGGAGGACGCAAAGGCAACAGCAGATGCACCCTCGACGGGGGACCAGCAGTTGGACAAGGACAGGCGGAGGCCCTGGGCGTGACGCAGGCAGCCCGGGGCGGCCCTCTCGGTGCATTCCAGACGCGGAGCCCCGCGCGGTCCCGCGGACGTGACGCCTCAATGGTTGCCTGGGCGAGGCGCCGGAGTTCGGAGTCGGGGCTGCCGGGGGTCGCACCTCTCTTCGACGCACCTCTCCTCTGGAGCCGCGCCTGCGACTGCTCCTTAGGCGGCCGTCGGGCCGAGAACCATGAGCGGCGGGGGCGCGGGCTGCTCCGCAGGGCTGCTGCTGACGGTCGGCTGGCTGCTCCTGGCGGGCCCCCAGTCCGCGTGCGGGACCAACGTCACCGCGGTCCAGGATCCCGACCTGGGCCGCATGCGCGAGAGCGAGGGCGAGAACGACGAGGAGGCGGAAAACGACAGCGAGGCGGTGGAGAACGACGTCCCGTTCGAGACTGCAGAGGCCCCGGGCGGGGGCCGCGGCCAGCTCCTCTCCTGAGAGCAGTGGGAATTGTCCATGTTTCCACCCCGAGAGCCCTCTGGAGTCCGCTGGCCCGAGTTTATAGATTCGCCTTGAGGAAGGATGTGCGAGTTCACCAAGGCCGCCTGCGGTTAAATAAGCATGTGTATGCATATTGCTACAGACATACTGTGAAATACTGTGCTGAACACGGAAAAAGATCTTTTAAGTTTGGGAGCTGCTCCCCACTAATACCTTTTTGACTCTCCTTGCCGTCATTTTCCCTTTCCGTGCATTTTTTTTTTTTTAATTTATGAATTGCTTGAGGTCCTCTTTTTCCCACGTTTGCACTTGAGGTTGGAACTCAGTAGACTTCAGAATTTTCCTTACTGCGATATCTAGTAGACCAACATGCTATGCTGAAAGAACTATCCAGAAGTCCCTTAACAGCCTGGTGCAGCCCCTACCCTTGAGCCCCTTACCTTACAGAGTGGTGGTGCTTTATTTGCTAACTTCCAACGCGGGAACCTTGGCAATAGAATACACTTATTAAGGGATCCAATTAGCTTTGTTAGATGCTAAGTTTTAGCCAAAGAAGAATAAGTCTGCGCTTGGTACATAAATTTGCCTTATTCTGCTGGTTCATTAAGCAATAAAACTAGACAAGCTGTTGTATGTGTTATATTGATTAGTAATGCACATGCTGGTAGGTAAAAGGTCAGCTGCAGGTTTGCAGCTTTCAAAAGGAGGAGGACTCCCTTTTCCCATAAATGACCAGCTGAGATTCTTTTACTATCCTTGGTATTGTCCTGTCTTCCATCTATACATATAGAGTGGGTGCTGTGTTTATCAGACGTTCTTCTATTTCTTGATGACAGATAGTGATCCTCAGTAACAGAAAGAGATTGACTATCTGAGGTTAGTAGTGGGATTGAGGTTTCTGCTGCCTTGGTAACGTGACAGAGAGCTTGAAAAGGTCTTGGACCTTGGGGATGTGAAAAAGATGACTAGGGAGGAAGAGAACATGTGCTAAAGCATGGTAACTATTGTTTCATTCTATTCTCTAAAGTAGTTGAAATAATAGTTTTCATATTAAATTGGTGAACTAACAATAGTGTTCAAAGACTTCCTTGTGTCCTCTACAAGTCAGATCGCACTGCAGTTTCGGATCTAGTTTGGACACCATACTTAAAACGGCTATGAAGCTACATCCCTCTTGATTCATCCCTAGTTGGACATTCTGGACAAGGAATTTTGAAACCAAAAAGTACACGCAGAAGGGGGCTGAGGGAGAAGGGTAAACGCAGGGAGTAGAAAGCAGGGCCCACGAGGAGGGTGGCAGGCCAGGGATTCACTGGGTTCGAGGGTGCAGCTGGCAGCTGCGTCGAGGGCACCTGGAGGACGCAAAGGCAACAGCAGATGCACCCTCGACGGGGGACCAGCAGTTGGACAAGGACAGGCGGAGGCCCTGGGCGTGACGCAGGCAGCCCGGGGCGGCCCTCTCGGTGCATTCCAGACGCGGAGCCCCGCGCGGTCCCGCGGACGTGACGCCTCAATGGTTGCCTGGGCGAGGCGCCGGAGTTCGGAGTCGGGGCTGCCGGGGGTCGCACCTCTCTTCGACGCACCTCTCCTCTGGAGCCGCGCCTGCGCCTGCTCCTTAAAAAAAGCGGAGAGCCAGGGGCGGCGCGGGCGCGGGCTGCTCCGCAGGGCTGCTGCTGACGGTCGGCTGGCTGCTCCTGGCGGGCCCCCAGTCCGCGTGCGGGACCAACGTCACCGCGGTCCAGGATCCCGACCTGGGCCGCATGCGCGAGAGCGAGGGCGAGAACGACGAGGAGGCGGAAAACGACAGCGAGGCGGTGGAGAACGACGTCCCGTTCGAGACTGAGGATCACGGTGAGGGCGGGAGGCCCCGGGGTGGGCAGGCAGAGGCCCCGGGCGAGGGCCGCGGCCAGCTCCTCTCCTGAGAGCAGTGGGAATTGTCCATGTTTCCACCCCGAGAGCCCTCTGGAGTCCGCTGGCCCGAGTTTATAGATTCGCCTTGAGGAAGGATGTGCGAGTTCACCAAGGCCGCCTGCGGTTAAATAAGCATGTGTATGCATATTGCTACAGACATACTGTGAAATACTGTGCTGAACACGGAAAAAGATCTTTTAAGTTTGGGAGCTGCTCCCCACTAATACCTTTTTGACTCTCCTTGCCGTCATTTTCCCTTTCCGTGCATTTTTTTTTTTTTAATTTATGAATTGCTTGAGGTCCTCTTTTTCCCACGTTTGCACTTGAGGTTGGAACTCAGTAGACTTCAGAATTTTCCTTACTGCGATATCTAGTAGACCAACATGCTATGCTGAAAGAACTATCCAGAAGTCCCTTAACAGCCTGGTGCAGCCCCTACCCTTGAGCCCCTTACCTTACAGAGTGGTGGTGCTTTATTTGCTAACTTCCAACGCGGGAACCTTGGCAATAGAATACACTTATTAAGGGATCCAATTAGCTTTGTTAGATGCTAAGTTTTAGCCAAAGAAGAATAAGTCTGCGCTTGGTACATAAATTTGCCTTATTCTGCTGGTTCATTAAGCAATAAAACTAGACAAGCTGTTGTATGTGTTATATTGATTAGTAATGCACATGCTGGTAGGTAAAAGGTCAGCTGCAGGTTTGCAGCTTTCAAAAGGAGGAGGACTCCCTTTTCCCATAAATGACCAGCTGAGATTCTTTTACTATCCTTGGTATTGTCCTGTCTTCCATCTATACATATAGAGTGGGTGCTGTGTTTATCAGACGTTCTTCTATTTCTTGATGACAGATAGTGATCCTCAGTAACAGAAAGAGATTGACTATCTGAGGTTAGTAGTGGGATTGAGGTTTCTGCTGCCTTGGTAACGTGACAGAGAGCTTGAAAAGGTCTTGGACCTTGGGGATGTGAAAAAGATGACTAGGGAGGAAGAGAACATGTGCTAAAGCATGGTAACTATTGTTTCATTCTATTCTCTAAAGTAGTTGAAATAATAGTTTTCATATTAAATTGGTCAAGGGATTTTTCTGATAATAAAATATTAAGTAGTATTTAGGCTACAGGAGATGGAATTTGAATGTCTTATATTCAAATTCAAATATATTCTCTCATTGTCTCTTTTTCCTCATCTGTGGACTTCAAAGAGTCCCATGTTCCTTTTGAAATTTTATATACAGTTTCATGCATGGGTGAGAATCCAGAACTTTAAACAGTCTGAGATGTCAGAGATCTCAAAATTTCCAGGACTCTTGTTAAAATTTGCACAGCCCCTGTAAGCCTCAGTGGACAGGTAGAAAGGGCCATTCACCACCTACTATCCAATGGGCCCTTTAATTTATTATTACTATGTTTTTAATTTTTAAGTCACTTTGAAAGTAATGTACAAGAATAAGAAAAAGAGACTAGTGAAAATAGCTATTATCATCCCTTTCTCTTTTTGCACTTATATTTTCAAAACCTAATACTTTGGGAACCAGCAGTTAGTGTAATGGCTATGTCGCTGGACTCCCACGTAGTCGACCGCGGTTCGTGTCCCGGACCCGGTGGCTTAAAACTCACGCCGGGCGCCTGTGCATGCGTGCCCAAGATCCCGAGAGGAGAATGGAGGAGAAGGGATTGCAGCATGACCATCCCCCCTGGGGGGTGATTTCTTGCTTTCTGTCTCTATGTCTCTCTCTGTCTGTCTGGCAAGCGCACGCGCCCTACAGTGAAAAAAATCTCTCCAAAAAAACCCAAAAAAACAAAAACAAAAACCTAATACTTTTACAAACAGTGAAGGCACATATTTTGTTCAAAAGAAGAATGCCATCTTTTTTGCTCTGTAATTGCAAGGCATTTTCATTTTTTGATTTATAAACCAATTAAAATGATTGGGCCAATGACTTTTATTCATTTATGCATCATTTGTTTTCTTCCCATGACCTTTATGTAACACCTGTCATCAGGTTTGTCCATTTACAAACCTTGTCAAGTAAATGCTGCTATGTAAACATCTTAAGAAAGGAGAGAATACGGTGCACATCCTTTTAGCAAGATAGTCTGGCCCAGGTGATTGTCAAAGTATTTCAAGACCAAATCCTTCCTATGGGAAGACTAACTAGATGAGAATGCTATATTTCTTTTTCTTCCCTAGAAATATATAATTCATTCATTGGTTCTTAAGTTAGAGAAAATTCATCTCGGTTATACAACTAAGATATCATCATCATTCAGTGATATTTTACTTATAAAGTCTATTTAATCATCATCATTAACATCTAAAGTGCTATACCTATCTCACTGTGTTCATTTTCTGATTCATTCAATAATTGTGAAGTGTTCTTGCCAGTTTTCTTCTCTTTGCCATTATGGACAAAATAAATTCTGAAATCTCAACAGTGTTCAATGTAAACCAAAAATAGACCAAAAGGAGGGAGGGTGCTTCTAGACTTCTTTTATATTGTCCTAAAAGATGTAACACTTTGGACAAAACAGTGAGAAAACAGAGGATGATGTAATAGCTGTGATTTATTTCATTTACATCATCTTCCTAGGCAAGTCCAATCATTCTTCTATTTAATTATTTTAATATTAAAAAAACACAGTTGGGATTGATTGACAAAATTATTTCATTATGGATGATAAAATAACAAAATGATTCAAGATAAAGGAAGAATCACTAAGATAGTGTGTTACATTTATGCCCTTATATCTCTTATATATCTTATATGTCTTAAATACTTAAAAATTTTTTGAGAGGTTTTTTTGTTTTTATTTATTTATTTATTTATTTTTGGAGAGGTTTTGCTATAGGACATGTGTGCTCGCCAGAAAGAGAGAGAGACAGAAAGCGAGAAATCACCTCCCAGGGGGATGGCCACACCACAATCCCTTCTCCTCCATTCTCCTCTCGGGATCTTGGGCACGCAGGCAAACGTGCCTGGTGTGAATTTAAGCCACTGGTTCTGGGACTCAAACCGCGGTTGGCTACATGGGAGTCCAGTGATGTAGCCATTATGCCATCAGCTGGTCCCCTTAAATACTTTTAAAATATATTTCATACTTTTTATCTAAGTATGCTCGTAGATTGATAAAAGGACCCATTAGACCTGCATAGTAAATGAATAATGAATAATAGAATGAGTTTTATTCTAAAAAATAATTTTTATCCCATAAAAATTTTACTATATGTTTCCCCTTTTGAAGATCTCTAAGAAAGAATAAAAGTCATGAACTATCAGTCTTACAAATCAACTCTCAGAAACTGAAAAATGGAATTGCACCCTGATGATATATACCTGAAGTTGTGGCATGCTGCCTAGAACTGAAGAGGACATTCCTGGATCTGGCCAGAATGAAAAAGAACAAGGCCACCATCTGCATCATTGTGGAAGCCAGGCTTTCATCTAAGAGCCAGTAGATTTTTAAGGAAACCTTATCACAAGCTTGATTCCTATTGAACTCTCCATTCATTTTTACCTATTCTATTGAATAGACAACCTATACAGTATTTTTGGACAGTCGGCTTTTTTGACGCTATATATGCAGGACATTTTATTCTTCTGACACTTTATTCTATTAGGGTTGCCCATTATCCTACCCTGACATTTTTAGATACAGATTTATTATCAAACATATTTGCTATCCTTCCTTGCCTTGTAGATCCAGAATTCAGTCAGCATGATATCCGTGTCCTTTTCCAGGTCATTAATAAAAGTGTTGAACAGGACAGAGCCCTGTGACACATCATTCCTACCACACTGACACCAGCCAATTAATTAGCATCTGTGGGTCAAATCGTTTAACCAGTCACACATAAAATTTTATGGATATTCAAACCATATTTTTTGTTTTGATTCACAGGTATATAATGGAAACCTTTGAAAAATACTGCACTGAAATTCAGATACATGTAATTTTTCTGATTCACATTTTAAAAAAATCCACTGAATGACCTAATGGACACTCAATACATGATAGAATATTAAAGCTGAAAGGGACTTTCAAGACTATCTGATTTAATATTCTTTTTTTTCTCCCTCTAAGGAAACTCAAGTCAGGGGAAATTGAGTAACTTTGCCCAGATAACATAGGTAGTAATAGTAGAACTGATTGATTAATGGTTCTTGAAAAGTGGTTGTATTTAAAAGTAGTTCAGCACTCATTCTCTTATCTAGGTTTACTATGTTCAGGATTTAGTTTTTACATTTCATTGTACCAGTAGGAAGTATTTAGACATTCCAAGCATAAAAAATGTTGATTCAAAATTGTCATTATAGTAAATCATTTATTTAACAAAGTCAATATTGATCTACTTCTGTGCATTAAGCGTTTACTGTGTATTCAAGGTACTGCATTTGGTGCTTACAAGTACAAATAGAAATGTTTATGAAACTATTAAGGTTTTACAGTAATCAAAATAGAAAAAAAATAGCTTTACATGAAATTAATAAGTATGAAATAAATTTAAATTGTGTAATTATAGCTTACACATGTTTATAGTGATAGTTTAAGGAATGATTTCACATTATTTTACTTAATTCTTTCCATAATCACATGAAATAGGTTCTCATTTCCAAATTTTACAGAAGAGTTAACTAGGCCTGATAGAGTTAGCTAATTTGCTCACATTCAAAGTTAATTAGTGGTAGAAGCACCTCTTTGAACTCCAAGTTCAATTAACTTTTCCATATGATTTGTTGCCACAGGATACAATGTCTGTTAAAAATTATCTTCTAACACCTCATTTTGTATTTATTTTATTGAGATTTTAGTCCTAATCTAAGCTTTGAAGAATTGGTTATATACTGTAGATAATTAAAATCATGCCAAACTTAAGAATGATTAGTAAAACACAAATGTGATTTAGGACCAAGAATATGTAACCTCTCAAACAGTGATATATTTCTAGATTATTCTACAAAATAAGGTTTTGATATAAATTCTTAGAAATATTTAAATGTACCATGTTAGGCTGAAAAATGAATAGAACTAATCTGTAACTTTGATATTTAATGAACACTTGGTATAAAGACTTCTTTTTGGTTGGAAATTATTTGTTCAAATATTTTGGAAAATGGAGAAAAGAACAAATTGGTTCTTACAATTGGTAGGCTTGTTTATGTTTTTCTGACCTTATGTGGATTGTTAACACACAATTTTTTAAAAGGTTTTTTGCCATAGGGTGAGTGCGCTAGCTGAAGAGAAAGACAGTGAAAGAGAAAGTAGGAAATCACCTCCCCAGAGGGAATAGCCACGCCACAATTCCTTCTCCTCCATTCTTCTCCAGTGTGATTTTCAAGCTACCAGAGCCAGGACTTGTACACAGATGGCCATGTGGGAGTCCAATGCCTTAGCTACCTTAACACATGCTGGTTCCATTAACTTACTACATTTTGATTGATGAAAAGTTTTTCAAGTTACATTTTGGTTGAAATATAAACCTTCTTTGTAGGTTACTTTCAAACTTAATGCTGTTATTGAGAGGGTTAGGATTCTCTTTGGACAATAACAGATGTAGTAGGAATGGTGTTGCTCTTCTGGCTTTAAAGGAAAAACTGTCCACAGCCCACCTGATAAACATTTGCATCTTCCATCCCCAAGTAACAGGTTTTAACTTAGAAAAGTTTTCATATGATTAAGTAATGTATCTTTATGCTTTATGTTTAGTTTCAAATGGAACAATAGTCAAGGAAGTAGAATACGGCATGTGCACTGTTACATGTGGTAAGTCGCATCAAGCAGGTGAATAAATTATGCCGCAATTTTGGGGGAAGGGAGGATAAAACAGATAATGTGGCAGTTTCTTATTTGCAATTTGTTTACTTGTCCCTTGCTAATTTCTAAAAGCTATAATTCACATACAGAACTCTCACTGTTTGCCTTGAAAGGTAAGGTATTTTCAGTTCATAACCTATAATTCTTATTTTAAGCCAGTTCTCTCTAGATTTTTTGGCATATAAACTGCTTTCACCAAAGTAAAATTTTCTCTGTATCACAGATGTTCAGAAGATGAAAGATTTTCCAATGCTTCTCACAGATGTCTTCCCACATACTGTGTTGGCAAATCTATCAAGAAATTTGCTTATTTGTAATAGTCTATTCTAAATTCTACATTTCTCCAATTTGTAAGTTATGTCTTGGAGAAAAGAGATATTGGCTTTATGGGGAAGATACTGTTCAAAAAACGTGACTTGTTTTCATCATGCCATGGATAGAAATTGGACATAAACTCTCTCACATGGGGGTGGAATTAAGGCAGTACTGTCTTACACCAGTGGTTCTCAAATTTAAATGCCCACCTGAAGTGTCTTTGAACTCCAAGTTCAATTAACTTTTCCATATGATTTGTTGCCACAGGATACAATGTCTGTTAAAAATTATCTTCTAACACCTCATTTTGTATTTATTTTATTGAGATTTTAGTCCTAATCTAAGCTTTGAAGAATTGGTTATATACTGTAGATAATTAAAATCATGCCAAACTTAAGAATGATTAGTAAAACACAAATGTGATTTAGGACCAAGAATATGTAACCTCTCAAACAGTGATATATTTCTAGATTATTCTACAAAATAAGGTTTTGATATAAATTCTTAGAAATATTTAAATGTACCATGTTAGGCTGAAAAATGAATAGAACTAATCTGTAACTTTGATATTTAATGAACACTTGGTATAAAGACTTCTTTTTGGTTGGAAATTATTTGTTCAAATATTTTGGAAAATGGAGAAAAGAACAAATTGGTTCTTACAATTGGTAGGCTTGTTTATGTTTTTCTGACCTTATGTGGATTGTTAACACACAATTTTTTAAAAGGTTTTTTGCCATAGGGTGAGTGCGCTAGCTGAAGAGAAAGACAGTGAAAGAGAAAGTAGGAAATCACCTCCCCAGAGGGAATAGCCACGCCACAATTCCTTCTCCTCCATTCTTCTCCAGTGTGATTTTCAAGCTACCAGAGCCAGGACTTGTACACAGATGGCCATGTGGGAGTCCAATGCCTTAGCTACCTTAACACATGCTGGTTCCATTAACTTACTACATTTTGATTGATGAAAAGTTTTTCAAGTTACATTTTGGTTGAAATATAAACCTTCTTTGTAGGTTACTTTCAAACTTAATGCTGTTATTGAGAGGGTTAGGATTCTCTTTGGACAATAACAGATGTAGTAGGAATGGTGTTGCTCTTCTGGCTTTAAAGGAAAAACTGTCCACAGCCCACCTGATAAACATTTGCATCTTCCATCCCCAAGTAACAGGTTTTAACTTAGAAAAGTTTTCATATGATTAAGTAATGTATCTTTATGCTTTATGTTTAGTTTCAAATGGGACAATAGTCAAGGAAGTAGAATACGGCATGTGCACTGTTACATGTGGTAAGTCGCATCAAGCAGGTGAATAAATTATGCCGCAATTTTGGGGGAAGGGAGGATAAAACAGATAATGTGGCAGTTTCTTATTTGCAATTTGTTTACTTGTCCCTTGCTAATTTCTAAAAGCTATAATTCACATACAGAACTCTCACTGTTTGCCTTGAAAGGTAAGGTATTTTCAGTTCATAACCTATAATTCTTATTTTAAGCCAGTTCTCTCTAGATTTTTTGGCATATAAACTGCTTTCACCAAAGTAAAATTTTCTCTGTATCACAGATGTTCAGAAGATGAAAGATTTTCCAATGCTTCTCACAGATGTCTTCCCACATACTGTGTTGGCAAATCTATCAAGAAATTTGCTTATTTGTAATAGTCTATTCTAAATTCTACATTTCTCCAATTTGTAAGTTATGTCTTGGAGAAAAGAGATATTGGCTTTATGGGGAAGATACTGTTCAAAAAACGTGACTTGTTTTCATCATGCCATGGATAGAAATTGGACATAAACTCTCTCACATGGGGGTGGAATTAAGGCAGTACTGTCTTACACCAGTGGTTCTCAAATTTAAATGCCCACCTGAAGTGCGCAGGGGCTTGTTAAACTGACTGCTGCCCAGAGTTTCTAACTCAGGCCTGCAGAGGGCCCTAAGAATTTGCATTTCTAACAAGTTTACAGTGAATCTGAACTGCTAGTTAGGGACTGTCCTTTCAGAGCCACTGCAGTAGACTAGGGTGCTGAGAAGACAGTAGATAATGCACAATGAGATTAAGTTTATCTTAAACAGGATCTATCTTGGGGAAAAAGTGCTGAGAGGGAAAAGGAACTGTAACTAGAAGGTAAAGGTAAGGCTAGATCTAGATCAAGGATGAGTTTTTGGTTTTGGTCAAAACTTACTCTTCAAAAAAGAAATTGAGATAGCTTTATTATTATTGTGGTAAAAACATACCTAATACAATATTTAACACTTTAATACAATTAAGTATATAATTCAGTGACCTTAAGCATATTCACATTATTGTGTAACTGTCACCACTGCCTATCTCTAGAAGTTTTTGTAGAGTGAAAATTTTTCCCAGACAGAAAACCTAAACCCATTAACCACTAACTCCCCTACCTTCCCATTTTCCCAGCTCCTGGCAACCACTATTTTTCTGTCTCTTAAGAGAGTCTTAAACTTGTTTTTTATCTTAACTGCTCAGTGAGGCAGTCACAACATGAAAGGACTCCATGTAATAAAGCTGTTATTATTCATTTGTAGCTTACTGCTATATTTTGCTGCTTGCTTGAGACATTTCCATAGGTAGGGAATGATTTTTAATGCAGTTCTAGTAATTGATATTGTCTTCTATTATTTAAAGAACTGGTTGACAAGTTGTATATTTACTCACTCAACAAATGATTTCTAAAACAAACCTTTTTCCTACTATGTTCCAAGCATTGTTATAGGTGCTAGGGATACAGTAGTGAACCAAGCAAATGAAACTCTTGGCCTTCAGGAAATGTATATAGTAGGGGCAGACAAATAATAATGTAAAACAGTCTCTGTATCAGATGGTAAAAAGTTCTAAGGAAGGAAGAGGCCCCAAAAGCACTATTTCATATTTAAATTATTAAAATCTTTTCAATTTATAATTTAACTATTTATTGGGTTGTCAGAAAAGTCATGACGTATTTTTTCTATGCAAAAATGCATTATGACTTTTCCAACAAACCAACAGAAGAGACAAATGTTTTTGTGAAAATTCTGTTTAACTCTTAAAACAATATTTTTGATTGTCAGGAAGTTTTCTTTAAATCCAGGCAGATTTTTAGGTGTTTCTTGGGCTTACAGAAAAGTTCACACCTACACACATCTCAATGAACTGTATTTGGCTACATAAATAAACACATAAAATATCTGCTTTCAAAATATGTAGGCTATGCTTCTCAAGAGATACTTTTTAAATTTTTTATTATCATCATAATCTTCTTTATATTACATTGGATTACATAGAACTTTACAGTGTATTACATTGTGTTTTCAAAAGGGAATGCCATGCATGTCAGTCAGTACAGAGACATTAATCTCATAAATCAAATGGAGCCATACTTCAGCCATTTGTAGCCAATTTTTCTGTTTATTTTATGTATATATGTATGTATTTAAATGTTTTTGCCATAGAGTCCATATGTCTGTTGGAGAAAGAAATAGACAGTGAGAGGGGAAGTGAGCAATCATCCCCAGGAAGGATGGCCACACCCCAATCCCCCCTCCTCTACCTTCCCTCCTCCCTCCTCCCAGTACCCTAGATGCACACACACACAGACACACATGTGCCCAGTGTCAGTTTCAAATTGCCAGGTCTGGGACTCAACAGCAGTTGGCCATGTGGGAGTCCAGTCCCTCAACCACTGCACCACCTGCTGGCCCCTCTTCTGTTTATTATTTATTTATTTAAAAAAAAAATTGCAAGGACACCTGCAGAAACAGAGAAGGGAACAGAGAAAGAGAGAGAGAAAGAGCACCCCTCACTCCCAAACATGCACACACACACCGGAAAGAATCATGCTGCAATCCCTTTTCCTCCATCTCTCCCTCCTCTCGAAATTCTGAGCATGCCTGCACACTTATTCTGACATCAAATGATACTATTGGCCATGTGGGATTCAGCACCTTAATCACTGTGCTACGGACATGCCTGGCAACTCTTTCAATCAAATGAGGCCTTTCTTCTTATATCCTTCCTTTTCCTTGTCTCATATGGAGTCCTCTTCCTTGCTACTCAAAGTGTGGTCCACAGTCCAGCTACGTAAGCATCACCTGAGAGCTAGTTAGAATTGCAGAATCTAAGACCTAGTCAAGACCAACTGAATCAAAATTTACATTTTAATATCTCCAGTAAACTTAAGTGTACTCTTAAGTTTGAGAAACACTATAAGCCACATCTACTCTTTAACTTGCCCTTGAGGCTGGTTTTTGTAATTAATATTTTCTAGGGTCTGAAAAAGAGGGAGTTTGGTAGACAAGGAAATCAAATTATTTTTGTTACAAAAGTATGACAATTCTAAAGAGTGTCACCATTCTTGTTAGAACAAGAGGTTTAGTCATTCGTAGGTTGTCTTGTCTATACTGAATTACAGAAATTTTATCAATCTAAATATAAGAAGCATTATTTATGGTAAAATGTGATTTTCAGTTTCCTCCAGTAGCTTCACTCATACCCCCATTCCAAAATCGAAATAAACTTGGGAAATCCTATATACTACTGTATTCATCATATCTAAGACTTTCTTGACTGTAAGAGCACATTTTAGGTGTTTTAAAAAGGAAAGTGCTGCCAACTAATGTATGACATGTCAATTGTAAGTGGACAGATTTCAAATATGTTAAAATGTAATATTTTATACCTTATATCAATGAAAATTGACACACAATAGCACATTAGTTTACTTGCACATTGAAAGTTGTCTGAAAATTCTGTAGCAAAGAGGTCTCTTTAAATTTATTTAATGTACAATTTTCCAATGTATGATCATGGAACTCTTTGTCATATGGTAATAACCAGAGGAACTAATGTTTCATACAACTCCTTAAATGTTATTATCCTGAATTTGGGAATTTTATTTCTGAAATTAAAAAAATTCTCAAAAAAAAAAAAGATCTAGGTAAGAAAGTAAAAACATTCTGGACTTGGGTTTTTGTTTATTTTTTAAATAACATTTTGTCCATTTCTTTTACCGAAGGTGTTGGTATTAGAGAAGTTATATTAACAAATGGATGCCCTGGAGGTGAATCCAAGTGTATTGTGCGGGTAGAAGAATGCCGTGGACCAGTAGACTGTGGCTGTGAGTTGGATTCTGTATTGAAGGGAGACTGAAAAGGGAAGAGTTAACTCTGGGGAAATATCCTTAACCTTAGTTACCACTGAGAGGAAAGAGACATTTAACTGACATACTGAGAGGAAAATGTAATAGAATTTAAAATTTCTCTTTTCTAGACAGAAATCTGACTAATTTCTGCTTTTGCTTTACAGTTTTTAGTGATGTCTAAAATGTAACATATATTTTCTATGATACATTGGAGCCTTAATGTACTAGGGATTGTGGCTGAGGCTGGCCTGTGGTGAAACACTTTCAACATTTTCATTATGGCATTTTATTGGTAAATTGGTAAACATGACATTGGGAACTTTGAAAGCTGTCTAACAAATTATGTGATTCTGAAATTTCAAAATTAATATTGAAAATATTAAATGTAGTATTTATAAAACAAATTATGTTAGTGATATTTATGTATTTTTCTTTTTTCCCCAGGGGGTAAACCGCTTTCAGAAAGTCTTGAAACTGTTAAACTGGCGTGTGTTCATGTATCTCCTGTAAATCGTTTTAAGTACATGTGGAAACTTCTAAGGTCAGACCAGGTAAGTAATAAATGAATATAATCTAGTGCTTTCTAATGAGTGATAAAATTTGTTTCCCAGTCCTGATGACTCTCAGAAAACTTTCTCTTTAAAAACAATTTATATACAACTGTGTAATTATTGAAATTTAAAATTTTAAAAATTATTTAGTAGAACCAAGACTTTCCATATGTCTTAGGATCAGTTGTAATCAGAACCTACAAGCCTCTATTTTATATAAAATATTCTATTGTGGAACCAAGATTTTCTTTGGCTTATATAGGAATTGTATGATTATGGTAGCTCACATGAAGGGTTTATTAAATGCTAGAATACACCCAGTACCAGTCTCTTCAGTCCACATAACAGTTCTATGAGGTAATTCCTACCATTACACCCAGTCTACTGATAAGTAACTGAGGTGCAGAGAGTAACTTGTCCATAGTCACATGGGCAGGAAATATTGTACTTTGGAATTTGGAGTCTGGACTGTCTGACTGCAGAGTCCATGAATACAATTAATTACTGTAAGAGGCTAAGAGAGACAGTGACTCTTCTTTTGTTAAAGGAAATAAATTGTTTCGCGATCTTAATTGCACTTGAAGAATGTTGATACTTTGTTATTTTTTTCTTTTTAAATAGCAATCCATTATACTTATAAATGATTCAGCAATCCTAGAAGTACACAGGGATATTCACCCATTGGCTTACCAGTGTGACACTCTAGATGATAATGAAATAGTAGCATCTGTTAAATTCACAATCTATACAACAAGTGGTAAGTGCCCAATAATGTTATGATTTGCTTATATCTCACACTTTAAGCATTAAAATTTCCTGGAGGGTTAAAATACATATCTCTAGCTCCACCTCCAAGGTTACTGACTCAGTGGATCTGGCATAAGAATACATATTTTTAACAAGCTCGCAGGTGATGCTGTTGCCACTGGTCCAGAGACCACACTTTCAAAACCACTGGATTATGTCATTTAGATTTTTCTACAAGACAATGCTTAATTTATTTTCACACTGTAGAATCAGATGTGCCTCAGTTTAGGAAACTGATGTAATCCTGAAGTATCTCCAAAGAATAGTCCTCTAATTATGTTCTTGCTTTTACTTTCATCATATAAATGAAAGGGAAAGAAATCATATAGATGAAAGAGAGAGAGTGAAATTCTCATGAATACCTACAGAAACCTTGGTACAGTAAGATGGATGAAGTAACATAATGTCAGAGCTTTTCTCTTTAAAATTTTTTCAACATAATAAAATCAGAATTAATTATATATTAAATATATATATTTTAGAAAAAAAGGATTTTTTCTTTTTTTATTTCATTTATTATACGTTTAATCCCATTATTTAGTTTACAAAATAAATATTTCAACAGGTGAACATTTCTCCCTAGTCTAGTTGATAAAACTATAAAATACCTTTAATAGATAATACCACATTTCTTTGTCCTATTAATGGTTTGCCTCCCTATTTTTTTCTGAATGTCCTTCCTCAGACCCTACTTTTTACACACACTATATCTGGTATTTACATCTATATACTGTGTTTCTATATCCTTTAGTCAATCAGTTTCAGTCATAGAGCAGACCCTTGGTATATATTAAGTGGGGACATACAATGTCTCTCCTTCATAGCCTGGCTTGCTTCACTCAGCAGTAAATCTTCCATATTCATCCACTTCCTGTCAAAAGCCAGGCTTTTTTATGGCTGAATAGTATTCCATAGAGTATATTTGCCACAGTTTTTCTATCCATTCATGTGTTCGGGGGCATTTGGGTTGGTTCCATGACTTAGCAATTGTGAATAGTGCTGCAATAAACATCGATGTGCAAGCACTTTTCCAATTAAGTGTTCTTCTGTCCTTTGGGTAAATACTGAGGAGTGGGATTGCTGGATCATATGGTAGTTCTATTTGTAGATTTTTGAGGAATCTCCAAATTGTTCTCCACAGTGGCTGGGCCAATTTACATTCCCATCAGCAGTGTAAGAGCATTCACCTTTCACCATACCCCCCACCAGCACTTATCTTTTTTTTTTTTTTTTTTTTCTTGGTCATTCTGACTGGTTCTGACTGGTGTTAAGTGGTATCTCATTGTTGTTTTCATCTACATTTCCCTTACAATGAGGAATGCTGAGCATTTTTTTATATGCCTTTTAGCTATTCATATGTCATCTTTAGAGAGTGGTTTTTCCACTCATTCTCCTATCTTTTAAAAGGATTGATCATCTTTTTTTGGAATAGCTGCTTGAGTTCCTTGTGAATTCTGGTTACCAGTCCCTTATCTGATGCATAGTTTACAAAAATATTATCCCATTCTGAGGGCTGTCGATTCACACTAATTACTGTGTCTTTTTGCCATGCAGAAACTTCTTAGTCTGTTGTAATCCCATTTGTCTATTTTGGGGATTATCAACTGTGCTATGGGGGTCTTATTTAAGAAGTCTTCCCTACTCCAATGTCTCCAAGAGTTTCCCCAGTGTTTTCCAGGAGCAGTTTTAATAGTTTGAGGTCTTAGATTTAGATCTTTCATCCACCTTGACTTGATTTTTGTCAAAGGTGAGAGGTAGTGGTTCAGATTCATCTTTCTGCAGGTGGAAATACAGTTTTTCCAGCACCATTTGCTGAAGAGGTTTTCCTTATCCCACTGGATTGACTGATACACCTTGTCAAAAATCAGTTGACTGTATGTTTAGGAATTTATTTCTGGGGATTCTATTCTGTTCCATTGGTCCACGTGTCTGTTTCTGTGCCAGTACCATGCTGTTTTGATTACCACAGCTTTGTAGTATATTTTGGGTCAGGAAGTGAGATGCCACCTACTCCACTCTTCTTCTACAGAATTACTTTGGCAATACTGGGTCTTTTATGATTCCAGATAAACTTTATGATTGTCTTTCCTAGATCTTTGAAGAATGTGCCTGGTACTTTGATTGGCATTGCATTAAATATGTGGATTAATTTGGGTAGAATTGCCATTTTGATTATATTAATTCTTCTAATCCAGGAATATAGGATATCCTTCCACTTTTTTGTGTCATTTTCAATTTATTTTTTTATCTTCTTGTAGTTTTCATTGTGGTGGTCTTTAACTTCCTCAGTTAGATTTATTCCTAAGTATCGTATACTTTTTGTGACTATGGTAAATGGAATAACTTTTTTCAGTTCTATTTCAGTGTACCTGTTGTTCGTATATAGAAATGATATAGATTTCTGTATATTGATTTTGTATCCTGTAACTTTACTGTATTTGTGCATTACTTCCAGAAACTTTTTCATGGAAACCATTGGGTCTTCTATGTATACAATCATGTCATCTGTGAATAGAGAGAGTTTCACCTCTTCTTTTCCTATTTGAATGCCTTTTATTTTTTCCTCTTTTTTGATTGCATTGGCAAGGACTTCCAGTACTATACTAAAAAGGAGTGGAGAAAGTGGGTATCCTTGTCTTATATTCGTTTTTAGTGGAAAAGCTTTCAGCTTTTTTCCATTGAGGATGATGTTCACTGTGTTGAGAAATGGCCTTCTATGCCGATTTTGCTGAGAGTCTTGATCATGAAGGGACATTGTATCTTATCAAATGCTTTTACAGCATCAATTGATATGACCATATGGTTATCTTTCTTCCTGTTAATACTGTGTATTACATTTATGGTTTTGCATATGTTGAACCAACCTTGCATTACTGGAATAAAGCCTACCTGATCATGATGTATAATCTATTTTTATAAGTTATTGGATATGATTTGCTAATATCTTGTTGAGAATCTTTGTGTCTAAATTCACCAGGGATATTGGTCTATAGTTTTCCATCTTTGTCCTGTCCTTATCTGTTTAAAGGATAAGGGTGACAGAGGCGTCATAGAATGAATTAGGGAGAAATTTACCCTTTTGGATCTTTAGAAATAACTTGAGCAGACTGGGGGTTAACTCTTCTTGGAAAGTTTTCTAGAATTCAGAGGTGAAACCATCAGGGCCAGGGCTTTTCTTTGTTGGGAGGTTATTTATTACTGATTCAATCTCCTGATTTGTTATGGACCTATTCAGACCTTCTATTTCTTCCTGGCTCAAACTTGGTAGATTATATGTGCACAGGAATTTGTCCATCTCATCCAGATTGTCTTGTTTCTTGGCATATAGGTGTTCATAGTATCCTCTAATAATGTTTTCTATTTCTATTGTGTCTTTTGTTATTTTGCCTGCTTCATTGCAGATTTGATTCACCTGGTTCCTTTCTCTCTTCTTGTTAATAAGTCTCACTAGTGGTGTATCAATTTTGCTTATCTTTTCAAAGAACCAGCTTTTACTTTCACTTATTTTCTGTATAGTTTGCTTATTTTCTATTTATTCCTGCTCATTTATTTATTCTTTCTTTTCTCCTGGAGTTTTTCGGATCTTTTTGCTGTTGTTTTTCCAATTCTCTGAGGCATGATGTTAGGTGACCCATTTGCCTTCTTTCCATCCTCCTCTTATGTGCACTAATTGCTGTGAACTTCCCTCTTATGACTGCTCTAGCAGTGTCTCAAAGATTATGGAAACTTGTGTCCTCATTGTCATTGGCTTCCATGAATGTTTTGATTTCAGTCTTTATTTTTTCAGTAGTTGTGGAGTCATTCAGGAGTAGGTTATTTAATTTCCATGTATTTGAGTATTTTTGAGGATTTGTCTTGAAATTAAACTCAAGTTTAAATCCATTGTGGTCAGAGAAAATGCTGGATATAGTTTCTATGCCTTTGAATCTGTAGAGGCATGCTTTGTGCCCTATGGTGTGGTCAATCTTTGAGAAGGTTCCATGTGGGGGTGAGAAAAAAATGTATCTCGTGGTTTTTGGGTGGAAAGTTCTATAAATGTCTGTTAAGTCCATTTGATTTATGGCATCATTTAGATCCTTTATCTCTTTACCTATTTTCTGTCTAGACAATCTGTCCACAGGCGATAGTGTGGTGTTGAGGTCTCCAACAATTAGTGTGTTGCAGTCTATCTTCCCTTTTAGATCTACCAGTCTTTCTTTCACATATTTGGGTGCTCCTGTGCTAGGAGCAAAGATATTTATAAGCGTTATATCTTCTTGATCAATTGACCCCTTTACTACAATATAGTGCCCTTCTTTGTCTCTTTGAACAGTTTTTGTTTTAAAGCTTATTTTGTCAGAAATTAGTATCACGACTAAAGTTCTTTTTTGATTCCCATTTACACAGAAAACCTTTTTTCCAACCTTTCACTTTCAGTATGTGTATGTCTTTATCCATAAAGCAGATTTCCTGTAGGCAACAGATAGAGGGTTTCTGTTTTTTTAATCCATTCAGCCAGTCTGTGTCTCTTGATAGGAGAATTTAATCCATTGACATTCAATGTTATGATTGATGTTACTGGACCTGTCCCTATGTTTAAATTGGCCATTGTCTTAGTTGCCTTTTATTCCTTTTTTTCTGGCTGTTACTTCTTTAGTTTTCCTGGGACAGTACTTTATTCAGGGTTTCTTGAAGAGCTGGTCTGGTGTTGGCAAATTCTTTCAGGTTTTGTTTATCTGAGAAGATTTTCATCTTTTTTTCCCCCCATATGAAGGATAATCTTGCAGGATACAATAATCTTGGTTGAAATTGTTTCTTTCTTAACACTTTCAATATGTCTTCCCAGTCTTTCCTTGCTTGCATTGTTTTCATTGAGAAGTCCGGTGTTAGCCTGATGGGGTGACCTTTGTAAGCCACTTGTCATTTCTCTCTTGCCAGTTTTAGTATCTTGTCTTTATCTGTGGCCTTTGCCAGTCTGGCTAAGATGTG